CAGGTACCACAGAGCTAGGCATAGAAATGCAGAGGCTGGTCAAATAGCAGGTGGTTAGGACACAGGCAGAAGACTGGGAACAAAGGGCCAGAGATCAGATAGATATTTTAGGAAACAAGATTAGAGTCTAGAATTAGAGTAATAGGTACTGAGAATAAAACTAATTGTACCTTTTGAGCAAATTATGGTACTTTTTATCCTCCTTGCCCAGGGAGCCTTAAAAGGTGGCTAGGCTTGAGCCCACAGGTGAGAGGGAGCTGGGATAACTGGCTGGAGTTGGGGAGGTGAAGGGATGGAGAGCCAGGAGTTCCTGATGCCTGCCTTCCATCTTCACAGTCTTCTAGGTCAGTCTTAATCTAAACTTGGGTTTTTCTCCCTCATAGCCTAGTCCCCTCATGCTGTTCCCTTACATATCCTTCTACCATACATGCCCTCCCACCCATATCATCCTTTGGGTCTTTCAATGAACTATTTGAGCTTCTTCCCTACCCACTCAAATGTCACCTATGCCCAGTGCCTAGTTCTCTGAAACATTAAATATTAGGATACATAAATGCTAACATACTATAACCAGTAACACAGTTCTTTGCCTCTGCCTCTAGAATTAAGCCAATCTTAAATAGTTAGAATTACTATCTTACATGATCATGCCACATGGCCTGCCTCTTCCCCTACCCCTGTAGCCACCCGTTGCAGTGAGCTCCCCAAGGCCAGGGACCATATTTCATTCATCTGTATCTTCGTTATCTTAAGTGCTGGCATATAATAGGCCCTCAATAAATTTTTTTCCAATTTGAATAAAGCAATGGCCACCCTATTAAAATTGCTATTCTCCCCACATTGTCTCTTCTCTGTTTAGTTTTTCTCCATCACACACTGTCATAGGCTGAACTGTGTCCCCCCAAAAGATGTTGAAGTCCTAACCCCCAGCAGCTGTGAACGAGACCTTATTTGGAAATTGGGTCTTTACCAGATGATCAAGTTAAGATGAGGTCATTAGGGTGGGCCCTAATCCATTATGATTATGTCCTCATAAAAAGGAGAAATTTGGACAAAGACATATGCACCCAGGGAGAACGCCACGTGAAGATGAAGACAGAGATTGGGGTGATGCAGCAAAGCCAATGAATGCCCAAGATTGCCAGCAAGCCACTAGGATGTAGGAGAGAGGCATGGAACAGAGTCTCCCTATCAGCTCCCAGAAGGAACCAACCCTGCCAACACCTTGATATGGCACATCTAGCCTCAAGATCATACAGTCCACTACTGTTTTGTGTGTGTGTGTGTGTGTGCGTGTGTGTGTTTGAAGATTGGCACCTGAGCTAACATCTGTTGTCAATCTTCTTTCTTCTTCTTCTTCTTCTCCCCAAAGGCCCCCAGCACAGAGTTGTATATCCTACTTGAAGGTCCTTCTGGCTGTGCTATGTGGGACGCCGCCTTAACATGGCTTAGATGAGTGGTGCCACGTCCACACCCAGGATCCGAACAGGCAAAACCCTGGACTGCCTAAGCAGAGCATGGGAACTTAACCACTCAGCCATGGGGCCGGCCCCAGTCCATTACTGTTTAAGTCACTCAGTTTATGGTACTTTATTACAGCAGCCCTAGCAAACTAGTACACTTACCACCTTCACCTACTACCTTAATAATTGTCTCCTTGACTAGAAGGTAAGCTCCATGAGGTCAGGCATATTATCTATTTTGTTCACTCATGAGTCCTCAGCATGTAGAACAGTTTCTGGTACACCACAGCTCTCAATATTTGTTGAAAAAAGTAATATGCATGAATGCTTTGGAGAAAAGGAATTCTTGACATTGACTTGGACATTGTTTTCATTTGATTTCAATTATAAAGCAACAATAGAGAACTTTATCAATTTAAAATAAAATATACAACATCCTCTGGGTACCATTTGGGAGGGGGGAATCCTAAACCCTCAGAAGTTGTAGCTCTTGCTGGTTTCCATCGTTCACTATCGGCAAAGTGCTTGGGACCGTGAATATACAGTTATGGTAGGGAGGCCAGCCATCAGGGTTTCCTTGTTGCTCCTTCTGGCTTTTAAGTCTACTCCTCTGAATAAGGGAAAGTAAGGTCAAGGGTAGGAAACTCTTCTCCTCTTCCTTACCTCCACTACCTTCCTTCTACCATGGCCCCAAATCTTTGAATGGTTGAATGCATGTGTTCAGGAATTAGAAGAGAATATTTCTAGTTTCTTTTTCTCCCTGCCACTAAAAAAAACAAAAACCACTTGTATTTATAAGACCCTTTCAGTTTTTTCTCAGTGTAGAAACCGAGTAAAGAAAAAGTTTTCCTCCACCCTTTTAGGGTCCCTGGCTGGATCTGAAAATTAAACTGAGAAAGACAGATTAACAGGATAAAAACATACACATTTATATTGTTTTTCTTTTCTTTCTTTCTTTTTATTTTTTGAGGAAGATTAGCCCTGAGCTAACGACTGCCAGTCCTCCTCTTTTTTGCTGAGGAAGCCTGGCCCTGAGCTAACATCCATGCCCATCTTCCTCTGCTTTATATGTGGGACGCCTACCACAGCACCGCGTGCCAAGCGGTGCCATATCGGCACCCGGGATCCGAACCGGCAAACCCCGGGCCGCCAAGAGGCAGAACGTGCAAACTTAACCGCTGCGCCACCTGGCTGACCCCTATATTAAGTTTTACATGACTTGAGAGACTTCATAAGGAAATGAAGACCCAAAGAAAAGGCAAAACTTACTTGCGTTTATATTCGGTTGGACAAAGAGAAGCAATTGTGGAAAAGTGACTACTAGGTGGGGAGGGTAAAGGAAGATAAGAATAATTTTAATAAGGTCTGTTTGTATAGGATTCTCTTGGTCTCAACTTCTCCTCCTTGATGATAAGAATGTTACTTTCCTTCTAGTATAGGAAGGATATATCTCATACGAATTTCATCTCCTGTTTTTAAGAAAAAAAAGGAAAGTCAGAGTGTTTTTCTTGAATTTGCTGTTTTTCAAGTGCCCCTAACTCAAAATAGTCAATATGGTAGTCCCTCCTTATCCGCCGTTTCACTTTCCATGGTTTCAGTCAGGGGGGATCAACCACGGTTTGAAAATATTACATGGAACATTCCAGAAACAATTCATTAGTTTTAAATTGTGGGCCATTCTGAGTAGTGATATGAAATCTCAAGCTGGCTTGCTCCATCCCACCCAGGACGTGAATCATACCCTTTGTCCAGCATATCCATACTGTATACACTACCCGCCATTCGTCGCTTAGTAACCATCTCGGTTATCAGATCGACTGTGGGAGTACTGCAGTGCTTGTATTTAAGTAACCCTTATTTTACTTCATAATGGCTGCAGAGCTCAAGAGTAGTGATGCTGGCAATTTGGATACGCCAAAGAGAGGCTGGAAAGTGCTTCCTTTAAGGGAAAAGGTGAAAGTTCTCAACTTAAGGAAAGAAAAATATCATACCAGAGGTTGCTAAGATCTACAGTAACTTTTATTAATATTGTTACAATCGATCTACTTTATTATTAGTTATTATGGTAATCTCTTACTGTGCCTAATTTAGAAATTAAACTTTATCATAGGTATGCATATATAGGGAAAAAGCAATATATAGGGTTGGGTACTACCCATGGTTTCAGGCATCCACTGGGGGTCTCAGAATGCGTCCCCCACGGAAAAGGGGGGACTACTGTATGCCAAAGCAGCTTACTGGGGGGACATGCCCTGAGCTCCTTCAGCAGGAGACTCAGCATTTCTCCACAGTCCTAGGAAGTGGGTATTATCTGAAGGGTGAGAAAACAGTCGGTGGTTACCACCTTACCCCAGGCATGAAGAATAAGCAAGGGGTACAAATCAAGCTGTTTACATTTCAATCCAGTGTCCTGTCTGTTGTATGGGTCATAAGCATGCATGTTTTCTCTTTTCATGTCTAGGCAAAGAAAGGAAGGATGGGAACCAAAAACATGAAAGAGACTTGGTTTTAGGATTGGGAGGAACAGAGAGAATTCTGCAGGGCTTTGGACTCTGTAGCCATTACCTCTGGTATCTCTGAGGAGATTGCAGGCACGAGCAAGGGGAGGAGAGGCCTGAGTTCCAGGCAATGAGGACTGGCCCAAGTGTCCCCCTCAGTCAATGGTCTTCCTTCAAATACACAGGCAGGACACACACACAACCAAGGACAGCAGCCTCCAGAGATGGTCTCGATAGAAACCATCCCAGATTCCCATGACAGGCACCGGGCACCACTTAGAGTTCAAGAAATAAGAAAGATGAGCACACGAGAGGCTGGGATGAAAAAATATGGAGATTAGTCAACCAGAAGTGAAAGTGTGGGTGAGGAGGAGGTAGAGAGTGAAGAGCGTGGGGCTGGAGGTGGAAAGACCACATTCTTGTGCTTGATGTGCAAGGGTAACAGTGAGCAGACTGAATGCTGTTTCTGAGATTCCTTTGACCTTTTGATACAGAGCTACGGTGCAGGTATAGACGTTGCCACAAAAGCCCTCAGGTGGCGTCTCGATCAGCTTCACATGGCACTATGGAGCCGATAACCACCAGTGGGAACAGGACGAGGAAGAGGGCTGGGGCAGAAGGGTAGTGGCGCCTCTGCAAATCCACAGGCCTAGGAAGGAGGTAGGCTCCTCGGCTGCCGCCTGGGGGCATCTAGTTTCAAGGCTCACTTAAGCTTCTGTAGCTTAAAACAGGCCCCTACGCTCTGGCATCACGAAACGACCCTGCTGCAAATGCTGCGGTTTCGAGGTGACCTTGGTGACCTTTTATCTCAGATTTACAGTCCTCACTCATTCCCAGATCTCTGCTGCTAAGAAGGGTTTTCTAGAATTCTAGGTTATTCTATGGCCTTCCAAGAAGGCTCCCCGCAACTCCTTTCCCTAGAAATGCTTGGAAGGACAGGCAAAGCAGCCTGGAGACTTCCAGTCATTTATCTGGACACCCCCAGTGACACCAGCTATCGCCACCCCTCTCAGGGGCTGAGCTCTTCTGCACGGTCCAGGGCTCGCTTGGGGTAGGGAGTGTCTGGGATGCGACGCGCCCCTCGGGCGGGGGGTGCCGCCGGCGGGTGTCCTGGGGCGGGCTTCTGGGCCTCGGGAGCGCGGGAGGCGGCCGCCGCTCCGGCTGGCAGGCTGCGGATGCTTGGTGCCCGCAGCCGATGGGAGGCGGCGTGAGCCCGACAGAGCGCGAGCGCTCGAGCGCAGCCTCCTCCCGCTCCCACAATGCACAGGGCGGCGGCGACGGCGGCAGCATCACCGGCCGCCGAAGCGGCGGCGGCGGCGACCCCAAGGCCCCTGGGCACGCGGAGCGCTCGCGCCGGCTCGCGGAGAGCCCGGGAGTGATGGCGAGGCCCCCGCGGGCCGCCCGCGCCTGAGGCGCCCCGCCCCGTCCCGTCCGGCGCGGCCCGCCCCGCCCCGCCCGGCCCAGCCCTGCTCCCTGCCGGCGGCAGCCCGGGCGCTTCCTAGTCGGCGGGGCGGCCGCCCGGGCGAGGTGCGGCCTCCGCGCGGGCGGGGGGCGTCGGCGCCGTGGGCCGCCATGGCCGCGTCCGAGCTCTACACAAAGGTGAGGCGCCCGCGTGGGGAGGGGGCCGCGCGGCCCGGCGCGCCGGCTGTCAGGCTGCGGAGGGGCGGGGGCGCGAGGGCCCGGCCAGCGCCACCCCCTTTCCAGCATTTCAAAACCCCCGGCCCGGCCTGCCCGCCGCCCGCAGAGGCGCCTTCCTCTTTCGGGCGTGGATGCTGAAGAATGCGGCGGCGGGAGGCCTGACTCAGGGGTCCCTGGCCCCTGCTCGCTTCTTGGGCTGCGAGCAGAGCGTGTTCGGAGTGGAAGGGGGGCCCGTGGGGATGGAGGAGGGCGAGCCTGGGTCAGGGTTGCCCAGCCTCCGGCTTACTTTGGGAAAAATCCCTGCTGGTGGGAGATGCTGGATCGGGTAGATCAGATGCTCCCTCCCTTGGGGACACGCGCTTAAAATAACGTCTGTTGGTATGCGGTGCCGCTTCTACCGCCCGCCAACCTTTCTGTGAGATGATTTGGAATCCTGCAAACGGTCGCCAGTCGATTGTCACCTTTCGCCGCCCGGTTTCAGATTGTTGAAATCCGAAATCACCTGGGGCGGCGAGCCCCTGGGGAAGATGCGGCGGGATAAATGGCAGCTGATTCATGGGCTGGGCTGGGAGGGTCGGTACTCATTTGTCGTTGGGAGTTTGCAACCTGCGTGTAATCCCTTAGAGCCTTGTTAGGCTCGATGTCTTCACCGTCCGCTGGGGCGACCCTTTTTCTTCTGGGTTTTGTTTAAGAGAAGTGGCAGCCTTTTCTTTCTTATCCTGACACCAGTATTCTCTAGGTCTGGTAATCTCTGAACGGCTTATTTTGAGAACTGTTCCTTTGAAGACCGTTCTGAAAATTTGTCTTGGGCAGTGCGTGGTGCCCTTTGTGAATGTGGTAGTCATGGCATTTTACACTCTAACTCCTGTGTAGGTAGGTGTTTTGCCAGTTATTAATTACCTCAATTCCAGTTAACAGAACTGGTTTAACTTTCCAAGTTTGCATTTGCAGCTGAATCTCCATTGAGAGTCCTAGAATCATTGATTCCAAACGCGACCCAGCAAGCCCAGGGCCCAAATTGCAGCCTGTTATAGAAGAAAGAGATCTGGACCAACCCTAAAGAGACCTGGATTCTAGCTCTGGCCTTTTCACTCACTGTGTGACCTTGGGCAAGTCATTTAACCTCTGCTTCTTTCCTCACCTGTAAATGGAGTTAATTATACCTGCCCTGCATCTCTTACAAGGCTGCTGTGAGGATCAAACTTAATAATAGATGGCAGGGGACTGGCCCCGTGGCGGAGTGGTCAGGTTCGTGGCCGAGTGGTCAGGTTCGTGCGCTCTGCTTCGTTGGCCCAGGGTTTCCGCCTGTTTGGATTCTGGGCGCCGACGTGGCACCGCTCATCAAGCCATGCTGAGGTGGCGTCCTACATGCCACTACTAGAAGGACCCACAACTAAAGATACACAACTGTGTACCAGGGGGGGCTTTGGGGAGAAAAGGGAAAAAAAATTAAATCTTTAAAAAAAAAAAAAGATGGGAAAGCTTTTGTAACCTGTAAATTTCTCTACGAATATGAGGTATATGATTAATTTCTTCAACCATGAAATGAGTTTGCATGAAACTTTCTCTGGGACCCGTCTCCTCCCAGCCCTAGTCTTAAAGACTGCACGATTGGAACTTCTCTCTAAACCTAATTTCTTTAGGCATTGTAGATCGCTAATGTGTGAATGAATACAACTGGAAACTGGTCTGAAGTTACTTTATTCACATTTATATAGTCTAACTATGTGCCAGGTATTGTTCAAAGTGCTTTACAGATATTAACTCGTTTAATCCTCATAGTAAACCGTATAAGGTAGGTACTAAGAAGTATCAGAGTCCTTTTCATCTGAAAAGATATGGATCTGTAAACATTCTTTAGTTGCATTTTTTTTTTTTTAAAGATTGGCCCTGAGCTAACATCTGCCAGTCTTTTTTTTTCTTCTTCTTCTTCTCTCCAGAGCCCCCAGTACATGGTTGTATGTTCTAGTTGTAGGTTCTTCTAGTTCTGCTATGTGGGACGCTGCCTCTTCATGGCTTGATGAGCAGTGCTAAGGTCTGCGCCCAGGATCCAAACTGGTAAAGCCCTGGGCCAGTGAAGCAGAGCACTTGAATTTAACCACTCCGCCACAGGGCGGGCCCCTCCTTAGTTACTTTGTATAGCCCCCCACTCTTCACTGTGGGAGGAGTCCATCCTTGAGCTGCCTAATTGTAGACAACTTAACTAAAGACCGATTGGATAATAAACTGCTGTTGGGTTTTGGATCTGCCTTTTTACTCCCAAGATAACTTTCGAGAAAAAAATAAAAAAGCTACTGAGATTTTTTAATTATAAGGTTTTGGGTTTTGTCATAGCTTCATCACAGCCTGTTTTAAAATTCAGCTTCTAGGGGCCGGCCCAGTGGCGCAGTGGTTAAGTTCGCACCTTCCGCTTTGGTGGCCCAGGGTTCACCAGTTTGGATGCTAGGTGCTGACATGGCACTGCTTGGCGAGCCATGCTGTGGCAGGCGTCCCACATATAAAGTGGAGGAAGATGGGCACAGATGTTAGCTCAGGGCCAGGCTTCCTCAGCAAAAAGAGGAGGATTGGCAGCAGTTAGCTCAGGGCTAATCTTCCTCAAAAATAAATAAATAAATAAATAAAATAATAAAATTCACCTTCTAGTCGTTGTAAAGACAGACTGGTTTAGACATCAAGAATGGAGTTGAGCTTAAGCTGCTTTCTCCTGAATACGCTGATGCCTAAGAATAATCTGGTCACTTGGCTATTTGTTGGCTAATTCTTTTTGTGAATGGGCCTTAGTTTAATGGTGGGCAAAAAATTAATTGAGCACCTCCTGGGTGCCAGGTACTCTGCTTACAGTTGAGAGGTTCTAACAATGATTAAGATATGGTCCTTTCCCTCAAAGGGCTCACAGTCTACTTCTTATAGTCTTGACCCACTTTGAATCTCCAAGGGCACGAATAACCTCCTGCTCCTTCACCAGCAGGCAGACAGCTGGTATGGTATTTATTAGTAGAAGTTAGGGAATGGGGTGGGACATGGGGAAGGTTGGAATGATTCTAGAGATAAACGCTTGGGTAGTGATGATTAGAGGAAGAGGGAAATCATTAGAAGTAATGCCAGTGAATAAACACAAGGATATTTCCCTTGCAGACGATTATAGGGAAGGAAGTTCTGGGGTAGATTACATGGAAAGATGTATTAGTGACATGCCATAATTATGGTATTCAGCATAGCGGTTAAATCTGAAAAATGCCCTTTAAAAAAATGTCATTCAAAGCTTAAAGGCAGATTTTGATGTGTGATACAGATCAGCTCCTATTAAAGCAAGAGACCAATTTATTCTTTTTAGCTAAAATGATAATGGTTTTGTCACAGCGATTTAACAGGGCTTCCATTTTGTAAATTTTCCCAGCAGTATAAACATTTTAAGGGCAATAGTTAGGTTCCTAGGATATAACATATCTGGAAACTAACATTTTGGTTAAAACATGTTTGTTGGTTTTTCAAATAACAGCTTTATTGAGATAGAATTCATATACCGTATAATTCACCAACTTAGAGTGTACAATTCAGTGGTGTTTAGTGTATTCACAGAGTTGTGTGTCGATTTGTTTTTAGATCCGCCTGGCTTGTTCCCAAAAGAATTGAAGGTGGCTGTGATATCTCATTGCTTATGATTTTGAAAATATTGGCTAGTCTTGACTTGCCAGTGAATATCTGAATCATAACATCACCCATAGATGCTTTCAGCAGCTTCCAAGGTTTCAGCATTTGTGGAGCAGGGTTTATTAATTAGACCTAAGTGGATGCCCAGCAGCAATAAAATGGCATGCTAGTCCTCCTCACATTAGGTTCCCAGACACCATGGATAGCACCATAAATGCTGTAGAATGGCCAAGATTACCTGAAGTTGTTTAACTAGGAGTCTCATAGTGTGTCAGGGTGCTGTGTTTTGTAACAGAACAAAAACAATCTAAAACCCCCACTTGGGAAGCCACGTAAACTTTCCTAGATGAAACAGCTGTTTAGGCCAGTGGCTTGTATGTTTGTATTCTTCCTCTCCTACCATATTCCCTTAGACCTGCTGAAGCTACATGGCCTAGATTTTTTCTGGGATAGTTCCAGTTTTATATTCTATGCCATTATCCCTTTGCTTAATTAATTAATTAAATTAATTAATTTTTATTTTATTATTTTGTTTGGTGAGGAAGACTGGCCCTGAGCTAACATCTGTTGCCAGTCTTCCTCTTTTTCGCTTGAGGAAGATTGTCCCTGAGCTAACATCTGTGGCAATCTTCCTCTATTTTGTATGTTCGATGGCACCACAGCATGGCTTGATGAGCAGTATGTAGGACCACGCCCGGGATCCGAACCGGTGAACCCCAGGCTGCTGAAGCTGAGTGTGCAAACTTAACTACTACGACACTGGGCTGGCCCCTCATTGTCCCTCCCTTTAAAGCATCAATCCTGGAAATTCTAGTATTTTGGTGTCAGAATTGCATTTCTTAGACTGCTTCCAACATCTTAAAGCAGGACAGAAATGTCATCTCTGATCATGTGCCCTGATTTAGGGTTTGGCAAGTACGTTTGCTTTCCTCAAGTCTCCTGACCCGCCCCTGCCATCTGTGTTTCCCGCTGATGTCCCCAGGCCTGTTAATGGCTCAGCTCTTCTCCTAGTCCCTCAGGTTGGAAACCTCAGCAGCCTCTTTCCTTGTCTCTCATATTCTCCTCCTTCTATACCAATTCTGATTTTACTTACTTGACGTCCAGCTGACAGTTCTCTGTCTCAATGACCTGTACACATTTCTGTCTTCTTATAGTTATTTGTGTATACGTTTGCCACCCCCACAATACTTAAGCTCCCTGGGATGCTGATCGGGGTTTTGTTCACCTCCTGAGAGCCTAGCACAATGTCTTATGCATAAGTAGGTGCTCATTAAATATTTGTGGGATGAATGAAAGAATACTTAAACAGG